AAGATAGAAACATTTCAAATAAAAGACCTAACACTACAACTTGAAGAACTGGAGAAACAACAACAAATAAATCCCAGAGCAAGTAGAAGGAAGGAAATAGTCAAGATGAGAGCAGAACTGAATGACATAGAGACAAAAAGAACAATTCAGAGGATCAACCAATCCAGAAGCTGGTTCTTTGAAAAGATTCATAAAGTGGACAAACCTTTGAGCAGACTCATCAAGAAAAAAAGGGAGAGGACCCAAATTAATAATATCAGAAATGAAAGAGGAGAAATAACAACTGATACCACAGAAATACAAATGATCATCAGAAACTATTATGAACAATTATATGCCAAGAAATTTGAAAATCTGGATGAAATGGACAAATTTTTAGAAAAGTATAATCTTCCAACACTGAAGGAGGAAGAAACAGAAAGCTTGAACAGACCGATAACAGTTGGGGAAATTGAAGCAGTAATCAAGAAACTCCCAGCACACAAAAGTCCAGGGCCAGACGGTTTCCCAGGAGAATTTTACAAAACATTTAAGGAAGAGCTAACCCCTGTCCTTCTCAGACTATTCCAAAAAATCCAAGAGGAGGGAAGACTGCCAGACTCCTTCTATGAGGCCAGCATCACCCTGATCCCAAAACCAGATAAAGACCCTACAAAGAAAGAAAACTACAGGCCAATTTCGCTGATGAACATAGATGCTAAAATCCTCAACAAAATATTGGCAAACCGCATCCAGCAATACATTCAAAAGATTATCCATCACGATCAAGTGGGATTCATCCCAGGGATGCAGGGATGGTTCAATATACGCAAATCAGTAAACGTGATACACCACATAAATCAAAGAAAAGACAAAAACCACATGATCATCTCGATAGATGCAGAAAAAGCATTTGACAAGGTACAGCACCCATTTATGATCAAAACACTCAGCAAAATGGGAATCAATGGGGCATTCCTCAACGTAATAAAGGCCATATATGAAAAACCTACAGCCAATATCATACTCAACGGGCAAAAACTGAAAGCTTTCCCACTAAGATCGGGAACACGACAAGGATGTCCGCTCTCACCGCTTCTTTTCAACATCGTATTGGAAGTCCTAGCCACAGCGGTCAGACAAGAGAAAGAGATAAAAGGCATCCAAATAGGAAAGGAGGAAGTAAAGCTATCATTGTTTGCAGATGACATGATAGTGTACATAGAGAACCCTGTAGACTCTACCAAAAAACTCCTCAACCTAATAAGTGAATTTGGCAAAACAGCAGGATACAAAGTCAACATTCAGAAATCAAAGGCGTTTTTGTACACCAGCAACGCAATAGAAGAAGAAGAAATCAGGAAAAATATACCATTCGATATAGCACGAAAAAAGATAAAGTACCTAGGGATAAATTTAACCAAAGACACAAAAGACCTGTATGCAGAAAACTATACAACATTGAAAAAAGAAATTAAGGAAGACACAAATAAATGGAAGCTTATACCATGCACATGGATTGGAAGAATTAATATCCTTAAAATGTCCATACTACCAAAAGCAATTTATAGATTCAACGCAATCCCTATTAAGATACCAATGACGTATTTCACAGAAATAGAACAGACATTTCAAAAATTTATATGGAACCATAAACGACCTCGAATAGCTGCAGCAATTTTGAGAAAGAAACACAAAGTAGGAGGGATCACAATACCGGACATCAAACTCTACTACAAAGCCACTATACTCAAAACAATCTGGTACTGGCACAAGAACAGACCCATAGACCAGTGGAACAGAATAGAAAGCCCAGAAATAAGCCCAGGTCTCTATGGACATCTAATATTTGACAAAGGGGGCAGAAGCATAAAATGGAGCAATAACAGCCTCTTCAACAAATGGTGTTGGGAGAGCTGGATGGCTACATGCAAAAAATTGAAATTGGATCATCAGCTGACACCATACACAAAAATAAACTCAAGATGGATAAAAGACTTAAATATAAGTCGCAACACCATCAAAGTCCTAGAAGAGAACATTGGCAGGAAACTCTCAGATATCCCATGCAGCAATTTTTTCACTGATATGTCTCCTAAAGCAAGGGACATAAAGGAAAGAATAAACAAGTGGGACCTCATCAAAATAAGAAGCTTCTGCACGGCTAAAGAAAACATCAGCAAAATGAAAAGGAAGCCAACCATTTGGGAAAATATATTTGCTAATGATACATCAGATAGAGGTTTGATCTCCAAGATATACAAAGAACTCACTCGACTTGACTCCAAAAAGACAAACGATCCAATCAAAAAATGGGGAAAGGACCTGGGCAGATGCTTTTCTAAGGAGGAGATACAGAGGGCCCAGAGGCATTTGAAAGGATGCTCTGCATCACTAGCCATTAGAGAAATGCAGATCAAAACCACCATGAGGTACCACCTCACACCGGTCAGAATGGCCATCATAAACAGATCCACAAACAACAGGTGCTGGCGAGGCTGTGGAGAAAAGGGAACTCTAGTCCACTGTTGGTGGGAATGCAGACTGGTGCAGCCACTATGGAAAGCAGTGTGGAATTTCCTCAGAAAGCTGAAAATGGAACTGCCTTTTGATCCAGCGATTCCCCTGCTGGGACTATACCCTGAGAACACCAAAACGCCAATACAAAAGAACCTATGCACCCCAATGTTCATAGCAGCACAATTTACAATAGCCAAGTGTTGGAAGCAACCTAAATGCCCATCAGTAGATGACTGGATCAAAAAATTATGGTACATATACACAATGGAATACTACGCAGCAGAAAGAAAAAAAGAAGTACTAAACTTCGCAACAGCATGGATGGAACTGGAGAGCATCATGCTAAGCGAAATAAGCCAGGGGGCGAAAGAGAAATACCATATGATCTCACCTATAAGCGGAACCTAACCAACAATGCAAAGAAGCAAGGCAAATATGACCAGCAACACTGAAAGGAAAAGAAATCAACAGAGACAAGAGGGAAGGGGGGCAGGGAAAGGGAAGGGAAGGGGAAAGTCAAGGAACATATAGCAAGGACTCATGGACAAAACCAAAGGGGAAGAGCTGAGGGAGGGAAGGTGGGAGGGGGCAAGGGAAAGAGGGGGGGAAGGCAGAGACAAATGTATTTAAAAAGTAAATAAATTAATTTAAAAAAAAGAAAAAAAAAAAGAAAAGTGGTGAGAAATGTATTTGAACAATAAAAATGAAATTAAAATATTAAAAAAATAAAAAAGGCATGACATAGTTACAAAATTTTTCTAAAATTTTATGAGCTAGATTTGCCTCTGTCTCATTGCATTGCCCTGGAACCATAAAGAGACCTTTACTATGAAGGGATATCTTGGTAGTTTTATCAGAAAAAAAATTAATTGTGAAAAAGAATGTTGTAATAAGTGACAAGTTATATTAATATATCCATGCAAATTATAAGCGTCCATTTATAATCAGTTTCATAATTATAAATTATTCTTATCAGCTATTTCTTCCCTTATAATCTACAGAACATTAATGGTATTTTGTTTTGGTTATCTCATGCACTTGAAAGCCATTAAACCATGGTTTAGTGAAACTATGTTCATACACAAACATACAACATCACTGATTGGTCTCTCAATCTAACTTTGGAAGTTTCAACCATGGACAAGTGTTTAAATAATACCAAACAATAAATCATACTTTGCATGGCAACTTTAACTCTTGTACCATTTCTCAGAAACATGCAGGTTAGGTTTTCTACAAGGCTTAGGATTCTTGTCTCATTTAATACAGACCCTATTTTATGAAGACCTGAACTGCCTGGAGTAGAGCTGTTAATATCTTCTCAGAGTCCCAGATGAAGGAATTCCAATTGTGAAATAAAATAATGTTCTTTACTTTCTTCTATCTATCAGTCAGGGAGATAAAGGGTTGGTGGGTGAACCTTGCTGCTCTCCCAGACTTCTCAATTTTTTCTGCTTACAGTTCATAGTTTATAAGCATAAACAGTGATGGTCTAAATTTAAAGCTTGCTGCACTATCATTGCATGAGATATTCATGTAAATACTAACATATGCTTATATTTGAGGCTTGTTGAAGGAGTGAAAAGTTTCTGAAGTTAGCAGCTACTTGAAATGTGCTACATTTCATAATTCAAGGATGGATTTAGTTCCCAATTAGGAATAAAAGCTAGAAGAAGGAGCCACTCAATTGAAGGTACTGGTAAAGTTTAAAGTGTTAAAGATAATATAGAGATAAAACAGTTAAATGACTATAAGTCTATACAGAGACAGTAAATTGTATTCCAAGAAATTGATTTAGAAATATGGAAAGAAAATTAAAATATTTATCTTAAATAATGACTTGCTCCCTTATTGGCCTATTGTAATATTTCTGTATCATTCACTAGTCAATGTCCTATTTCGTATCCTAATTTCTTTGTGTTTCAGAAGGTATTTTCTTTTTGAAGAGAAATCTGAAGACTTTTGGTTACCCAGATAACACATTTAAGATTCAGCTAATTAGGTAATTACTGAAATCTCTAACTGTAATTATTTGGGGCCAGTATCACTATCTTTCTGTGAGAGAATGAGTCTGGATTCAAATAAAGTGATTGTGAACAGTTTAATAAAGACAGTTATAGATAATTTCCTGAGATTCCCCTGGCATTTATTTCACCTTAGACAATAGCTGAATACATGGAGAGGAAGCACTCTCCGTTTAGTCAAATAGACCAAAAAAAAAAAAAAAAAAAAAAAAAAGAAAAAGAAAGAAAGAAAGAAAAAAGTTGTATTCATGGCCATTAACTCAGGAAGAAAGCAAAGAAGAAACTAGAAAAAATATATTTAAATAATAATAATGGACTCAGCCTCAGAAAGTTGAGTGTAAAAATATGGTACTTTAATGTCATGAACTTCTTAAGTCTGGGAGAAATTAGATAGAATTAAAAGATGCAGCAAATTAGACCCACAGGGGAAGCACTGGTACTTGATGGGAAAGAATGGAGAGTATTATTTTTTTGTGGTTAGATGTCCAGGTAAATGTTCTCCAAAGCAATCTTACCTTTGTTTTCTGCTTTTAGTTCCTCTGCCATCAAGCTGTCTTGTCGATTACCAAGCACAAATGCCAGAAATGAGAGGATCAGAGCATCCAAAATCCCAATAATAGCCAGGATGTATGCCCAGCGGACTGAACAAGCCCCAAGAGTGTACTTGTCCGTCTTTTCTCCACACATTCGTTTTACTTCATCTGAATCCCAGCCATCAGGGAAAATCATGCAGCCAAGCACAAGGCAGGCAGCTGAGAGAGAGGGCAAAAACAAAAGAAAAAAGAAGTTAGAATAAATTTTATTCTAGCAAACAGCAGTGATTCGACTGCTTCAAATTCTTAAAGACCAGCGAATCTCATGGCTATCCTACCTGGAATGACCCCCACCTCCCCATCCCCCAGCACATTTTAACTTAAAAGCAGCCTAGTACTCTGCAGGAGCTCTAGAAATGCACTTCATAGTGAGCCAAGCATTCTGAAGGAAGTGAAGGTATGTTGATCTATAAGAAAATACTAAAGAAAAAAAAATTGTAGTGCATTAGTTGGAGGGCTTCCATTACAAACAGGAATCATATACATAAGAAATCATAACACTGCAAAATGACTATCAATGCTGGCTTTGAAGAGCCATGGCAGGAGGCAGAAAAGGATTAGGATAACATAGAAAATACCAGAGGGTATACTGACTTTGAGTTATATCAAAATATAATTTCATATTGTGATCTTCTACGCTTGCGTGTGCATGCATACACACACAGAGAAAAATTTCTTGAAACTCTACTTTCCATGTGCAATTTGCTCTGATATTTTCTAATATATTTTCTGTTCTATTTCATTTTTAAAACATCAAAAAATGCTGCAACATAGAGTTGTACCACAGCTTTTATGGAAATTCGGAAATTCAGAAATTCAGAAATTCAGAAGGAGAATACTTCTGTTCAATTTCCTAACTATCATTGTGGGAATCATATGAAAGCTTTAAAAAAATTAAAGTATGTTAGAATATGCTCTTTTTTCTTCTACATATATATATTTATTGATTATGCTATTACAGTTGTCCCGTTTTTTCCTCCTCCAATATCCCCCCTCCCCTTAGTTCATGTCTATGGGTTGTACATATAAGTTCTTTGTCTTCATTTCCTATACTATTCTTAACCTCCTCCTGTCTATTTTGTGCCTAACAATTGTGCTTCTTCTTCCTTGTACCTTTTCTCCCATTCTCCCCACAGCCCCTGCACGCTGATAACTCTCCATGTGTTCTCCATTTCTGTGATTCTGTTCCTGTTCTAGTGGTTTGCTTAGTTTTTTTTTTTTTTTTTTAGGTTCAGTTGTTGATACTTGTGAGTTTGTTGTCATTTTACTGTTCATAGTTTTTGACTTTCTTTTTCTTAGATAAGTCCCTTTAACATTTCATATGATAAGAGCTTGGTGATGATAAACTCCTTTAGTGTGATCTTATCTGGGAAGCACTTTGTCTGCCCTTCCATTCTAAATGATAGCTTTGCTGGATAGAGTAACCCCGGATGTAGGCCTTTGCCTTTCATGACTTTGAAAGCCCCTTCTTGTCTGCAAGGTTTCTTTTGAGAAATCAGCTGACAGTCTTATGGGAACTCCTTTGTAGGTAACTTTCTCCTTTTTTCTTGCTCATTTTAAGATTCTCTCATCTTCAATCTTGGGTAATGTAATTATGATGTGCTTTGGTGTGTGCTTCCTTGGGTCCAACTTCTTTGGGACTCCCTGAGCTTCCTGGACTCCCTAGAAGTATGTTTTCTTTGCCAGATTGGGGAAGTTCTCTTCCATTATTTTTTTTGAAATAAGTTTTCAATTTCATTCTCTTCTTCTTCTCCTTCTGGTACCCCTATGATTTGGATGTTGGAATGTTTAAAGTTGTCCCAGAGGTTCCTAAGCTTCTCCTCATGTTTTTGAATTCTTGTTTCTTCATTCTGTTCTGGTTGAATGTTTATCTCTTTCTTCTGCTCCAAATCATTGATTTGAGTTCCCTTCACTGTTGGTTCCCTGTATATATATTTTTTATTTCACTTTGCTTAGCCTTCACTTTTTTTCTCCATTTTGTGACCATACTCAGCCATTTCTGTGAACAACCAGATTACCAGTGTTTTGAACTCTGCGTCTGATATGTTGGCCATCTCTTTATCACTTAGCTCTTTTTCTGGAGTTTTGATCTGTTCTTTCATTTGGGCAATATTTTTTTGTCTTGGTGCTCCTGTTACATTTTGAGGGGCAGAACCTTAGGTATTTGCCAGGGTGGGGCAACCCAGGTCACTGCGTTGCGATGCCGTATGTGGGGGAGGTGTCCAAGAGGAAACAATGCCACTTTCTCAGCTCTCAGCCAGCTTTCAGTCACTTCTCCCACTACCCACAAGCAAATTAGGCCCTTGTAGTGCTGATTCCTGGGTGGGTGGGTTTGTGTATGTTCTAGGACCCTGTGAGTCTCTCCAACAAACTCTCCTGTGGGGCTGGAAGTTTCTCCCACTGCCACATCCCCCACAGTTTTTACAGACAGAGGTTTTGAGGCTTGCTTTTCCTGCAGTGGAACCCTGGATTGTGTGGTTTGTCTTGCTCCCTAGCTGTTCCTCCTGGTTTATCCACATGCAAATGGGAACAGCTTGGTCTGCCAGCTGCCATCTCACCAGCTTGGGCCTCCAACTGCTGCCTTGCCACATGTCCTCTCTGCCCTGGCTGCCGCTCTCTGCCCCTCCTACTGGTCTAGATGTTTCTTTTTTTAACTCTTTGGTTGATGGACTTCCATCCAGTTTGATTTTCTGGCTGTTCTGGTTATTTTTTTTTTAATTTGTTGTCCTTCTTTTGGTTGTGCAAGGATGCAAAATGTGTCTACCTATGCCCCCATCTTGGTTGGAAATAGAATATGCTATTTTCAAGATTAAAGAAGATAAGTGGCTGTTGTTGCCATTCTCTTTTTATTTAATTGATTATTTAGGGATAAATGATAATAGTTTAGGTTATGAAGAGCTTTCTGAACAGGTGGGTTCAACGTAGTAGTTTCTAATTCATTCACTGATTAATTCAACAACTACTTTTGAGTATCTCCTATGGTGTCATCGACCCTTCCCTACTTGAAGGCTTCATTATCTTTCTTTTATTTTTAAAAATATTTTTAAAATTTATTTTTTAAAGAAGGGGTGGGAGGGAGAAAGAGAGGGAGAGAAACATGATGTATGAGAGAAACACCAATTGATTGCCTCTTGCACACCCCCAAATGGGGACCTGGTCTGCAACCCAGGCATATGCCCTGATCAGGAATCAAACCGGTTACCTTTCAGTTCACAGGCTAGTACTCAGTTCACTGAGCCACATTAGCCAGGGCCTTCATTATCTTTCAAAGGGAACTCTCACTTTCTCTGTCTTCAGTTTTCCTTCATTCCAATTCAGATTACACACTGCTACTTAGGCCATCATACTCAGAATCTTTTGCAGGTTCCACATTAGTATTGAAGAACACTCAGATATCTTAGTCAGGAATTCAAAGGTTCCATAATCCAGCCCTTACTTACTTTTCCTGTCCATCCCCTTTATACTCTTCATTTCACTTCACTTCACTTGAGTTGAACAAAACCTGACTCTGTTCACACACTGTTTTTGAATCTCTTTATATTCTCCTCTGGGGTTATTTTACGCTATTGTCCTGAAATGCTCACTCTTAAAGTCTTCTAACATTCACCTCAAATGCATCATCCTCCACAAGGCAAGCCATCTTGAATACTCAATCTAGAATATTGTTAAATTGATTTTGGTACCAATTCTGATGTGTGTGTGTGGTTTCCCAAACACCCCAATGAACAGTACTCAGACACCAACTGGATGTCCTATAATTCAACTCAGTTCTGACTCTATCTACTTGGAGATAGCACCAGATATCATAAATTAAGGGTTAAGTCCTAATGACTGCCCCCATCCCACTTCAGATGTCAGTTTCAAACCCAGACTGTTACCTGTGCTTCTGACATTTGGCTACAAATTGGAGGTTCCAATGACTCCTCCAACTCAGAATGCCACTGGACATCTACATTGTTACCTATACTTCTGACCCAGTGGCTATATAAGTCAGCAGTTCCCAAGACTTCCTTCTCCAGTTCAGTCAATTTGCTCAGGCAGCTCACAGAATTTACAGAAACATTTTACTTATTAGATTACTGGTTTATTACAAAAGTATCTATATATCTCAAAAACAGCCAGATGGGACAGATGAATAGGGGCAGGGTATGGTAAAAGGAGCAGAGCCTCCATGTCTTCTCCCATTTTTCTAGCACCTCCACAGTTTCACCAGTCTGGAAGCTCTTCGAAATCTATCTTTTGAGGCTTTTACTGAGGCTTCATTGGCACAACTGATTAAAGAATTCACTGTTGGCCAGTGATTCAACCTCCAGCCTTTCCCCACTCCAGAGAGGTCCAGGGGATGGGACTAAAAGTTCCAACCCTCTCGTCACATGGTTTGTTTTCCTGGCAACTAAGTCCCATCCTTAGGTTAAAAGTCACCTTATTAACATGACAAGAGACATCTTTATAGCTTTCACACTTAAGAAATTCCGAGGATTTTAGAAGTTCTGTGCTAGGAATAGTGGAAGAAGATGAAATACATATTTTTTATTGTAACTCATAGTATCACAATTGCCTGTTTTTGAACTCCCACATCTATTGACTGTACCTATCTTAGAGTCTTTGTTACATTTTATATTTGTTATTTATTTCCAATTATTATTTCATTTAATAGACTATAAGCTTTCTGAGGGAAGAATCTTTGGTCAGATATCATATTCATAGTACCTAAAACTGTGTCTTATACAGAGTAGGGACTAAAATACTTTTGAATGAGAGAGCGAATGAATACAATATTTATACAATAACATAAATTATAATAGACAATAAAATATAGTTTATAGAAGTAAATATCACAACTACTCAAGGTCACAAAAGCTATAGAATGTCTAGTCAAAAGATAGATTTATATTTAGGTGACATATAGCAAAGACAATTTTGTTATGACTAAAACAACAGATTATAAGTACTTAGGAGAATAATTAGAAACAAGTGAAGTTAATAATTTGAAAATATTTTCAAATTCCTGTTCCCTTTGTAACTCTCAACACTTAGAACCAACATGCTCGTCAAGGTACTAACAATAATAACCTGTGTATTTTAAAAACATGTGGCTTTCATGAGCAAAAATTTATTTTACTTGAGAAGACATAGAATATCTTTGAATCTATAGTTCA